GTCTACCGGGCCACACGATTCAACGCTGCTACAAGCTCCATGGTTATCCACCATCTTCTCGTTCTGCACTGCCTTCTATTGCTCCTGCTTCATCGGGAAAACCCCCATGTTGCCTCGCCCACGCTTAGGTACTGATGTTAAACCATTTAATCCTGTTAACATGGTTTCTTCAGTATCATAGACCTCTGCTGGCTCCTCTTTTCCTGCTGGAATTTCTTCGAGCACCATGGCTCAAGCACAAGCTCTGTTTGACACATTCCAGTCTCAACTAAAGCTTATTAGCAGTTCACCACCGTTTTCTGACTCTGCTACTACCACTACCGAGCATTCCTTCTCAGGTACCTTTTCATTTTCTTCCCCACAGATTCTTTCTGCCTTATATTCTACTTCTTCCTCTTTGACTTCTCCTACTGATTGGATCTTAGATACGGGTGCTAGTTGTCATGTGTATTGCAACTTAAGTCTGTTTTCTGATGTTCAACCAATTCCCCATACATATGTTACATTGCCAAATGGCTCTGTTCTTCCAGTTCATTTTTCCGGCACTGTTCCTGTTTCTCAGTCCTTATTATTAACTTCTGTCTTTTTTATCCCTTCTTTTCGTTTCAATTTGCTAAGTGTCAGTGCCTTAACACACAATACTTCTTACTCTATCACTTTTACTCACAATTCTTACCTGATTCAGGACCCTTTGCAGGGCTTGATGATTGGGAAGGGTGAGCAAGTCAATCATCTCTATGTTTTACAGATGTCGTCTTCTTCATCTTCTCAGACCATCTGTACAACTGTCTCTGCGTCATCCGCTGATCTTTGGCATTGCCGTTTAGGTCATCCCTCTAGTTACAAAGTTCATCTTTTACCTAAATCTTCTCAGATTTCTTTTGTTCCTACAAAGTCTGTAAACACATACTGCAGTGTCTACCCTGTTGCTAAACATAGGCATCTTTTGTTTCCCGTTGGTGGTCATTTGTCAAAACACCCTTTTGATTTGCTTCATATTGATACATGGGGACCCTTCCATTTACCTACTTATGATGGATTTAAATATTTCTTGATAATCGTGGATGATTGCTCTCGTGTAACCTGGTTATATATGCTGTCTTCAAAAAGTGATGTTCTGTCAACCTTTCCCACGTTTTTAAACCTGATTAAAACTTAGTATAATGCTGATGTTAAGGCTGTCCGTTCAAACAATGCGCCTGAACTATCTTTCATCGAACTTTTCTTACAAAAAGCAATCACTCATCACTTTTCCTGCCCTTACACACCCGAGCAGAATTCCGTTGTAGAACGGAAACACCAACACATATTAAACGTGGCTCGATCTCTCTTATTTCAGTCAAATATTCCCCTATCATACTGGGGTGAATGTGTTAAAACCGCTGTCTACCTTATAAACCGAATTCCGACTCCCTTGCTTAACCACAAATCACCATATGAGATCCTTAATCAAAGCAAACCTTCTTATCATCACCTTAAAACATTTGGGTGTCTATATTTTGTATCCACCTATTCAAGAGATCGCCACAAATTTTCTCCGAGAGCATCTCCATCTGTGTTTCTTGGGTATCCCCATAGTATCAAAGGGTACAAGGTTATGAACCTTGAAACGAATGTCATCACGATTTCCCGAAACGTTATTTTTCATGAAAATGTCTTCCCTTTCAAAACCTTTCCTTTGCCTTCTGCAACTCTCGATTTTTTTCCTTCTGTTCCATCCCCTTTTCATTTATATGACACTTCTGTCCCTCACTCTTCCTCATCCTCCCAATCTGTGTCATCAGAGACTATTCCTGTTTCTGTTCGTTCTTTATCCCCAACCGCTTCTGATTCTTCCTTTTCTTCTTCCCCACTACCATTGGTTGAACATCATGAAAACTTACGTAAGTCAAAACGCCAGACTAAGTCACCAGCATACCTCTCGGATTACCATTGTTACTTTCTCAAACATAATGCCCCACCACAAACATCACCCACAACCTTATACCCCTTATCCGATTTTCTCTCGTCTTCCAAACTCACCCCTTCTTACAAATTGTTTGCTCTTTCTTTACTCACCTCTTCTGAACCTAAGACTTATACCCAAGCAGCAAAGTCAGAAACCTGGAGATCAGCTATGCGGCTTGAACTTGAGGCTCTCATTCGAGCTTGTACTTGGGACATCTGCTCTCTTCCTGTGGGAAAACATCTCATTGGTTGCAAATGGGTCTTCAAGACCAAATACAATGCTGATGGCTCGATTGAACGTCATAAAGCCAGACTCGCCGCCAAAGGGTATACTCAAGTTGAAGGACTAAATTACTTGGATACATTCAATCCAATGGCGAAATTAACCACTGTTCGTATCATCCTTGCTCTTGCTGCATCAAAGAATTGGTTTATCTCACAGCTTGATATATCCAATGCGTTTCTTAATGGCGATTTGATTGAGGACATCCATATGACAATTCCGCCAGGGTACTCTGTTCTTCAGGGGGAGCCGATTCCACCTAACTCAGTTTGTAAGCTGCGAAAATCCTTATATGGTCTCAAGCAAGCCTCCCGCCAATGGAACATCAAGATTTCAGGTGTCTTACTTGCTTCTGGGTTTCTGCAATCAGTTGCTGACACTTCAGTCTTTGTTCGACGCGTTGGGTCCAGTCTTGTTGTGGTTCTGATTTATGTCGATGATATTCTCCTATCTGGCAATGATTCTACACTTATTGATTCCACCAAAGTTACACTACAAAGCAAATTTCAGATCAAGGATCTTGGGCCACCGCAATACTTCTTGGGTATTGAAATTTCTCGATCTTCTAATGGTATTCATTTGTGTCAGAGAAAGTATGCTCTGGAATTTCTAGAGGAATATGGTCTGTTGGGTTCGAAGCCTGTTCACACTCCTATGGATCTTAAGGAGAAATTGACTTATGATTCGGGTGAACTTCTATTTGATGCGTCTTTCTATCGACAGCTCATTGGTAAACTTATTTACCTTTCTGTCACACGGACGGATATATGCTTCGCCGTCCAGAAACTCAGCCAATTCATGTCCTCTCCTCGTTCGCTCCATTTACAGGTTGCCTTACGAGTTCTGAAATATCTCAAGTCTACTCCATCACAGGGTTTACTGTTCAGCCTCGTCTTCTCTAACTTTGAAGGCATACTCTGATGCTGATTGGGCTTCATGCCCCGATACACGCCGCTCTATCACAGGATATTGTGTGTTTCTCGGTGTTTCAATGGTTTCATGGAAATCTAAGAAGCAATCCACCGTTTCTAGAAGCAGCACTGAATCTGAATATAGAGCTCTTGCACAGATAGGATATGAACTTATTTGGATCGATTCTTTGCTCAAGGATTTACACATTTCCTGTCAGCGCCCCTTTAACATCTACTGTGATAATCAATCAACTTTGCATCTTGCCCGGAATCCAGTTTTACATGAGCGGACCAAGCACATCCAGCTTGATTGTCATTTCATCCGCCAGCATATCTCTTCCGGTCTTCTACAGCCATTACATGTTCGATCCAAGGACGAAATTGCTGATTTGTTGACTAAACCCTTAGTCTCGGATCAGTTCAAGTTTCTCCTCTCCAAGATGGGTATACATAACTTGTATGCCCCATCTTGAGGGGAGTATTAATTGTTGTACTATTGTCCGACAATCTCTGCTCCAACACTTACAAAGTTATGTGCAAGTTCACCTCTTGTCTGTGCATAACGGTTTCGTACAGCTACATAGGATCACTTTTTCAATGATGTAGTAGGTCCATAGCATGTTCTTTATTCATTTGTTTTTGTGTATAAGTAGAGTTTGTACAAAGCATTTTTGAGATATACGAAAAACATCTTTTTCCCAAAAGCTCTCTGTGTTCCTTTAGCTCTAAATGTGTTCTTCAAATTCTGTAAAAGTGTTCTTCGTCTTCAAGTTGCAGCAGGGTAAAACCTTGCGAAAAAGAATTCGATTCGAGAAGCAATTTCAGAGACTGTTCAAAATACCATCAACAAGATTTGGGAACTGGGGTTCAAAATTTTTGGGATTTTGTTGATGATGGAGCCGACGGAGCCACGTTTCGCGACGAGGGAGTCAGCCGTGGCTCCTCCTCCGTGTCAACGTCAAACACTGCCGTCTCTCTCTCTCGACAACACTAGAGTTTTGTTAGAAAAAAGCACACATTTCATGTTTTTTTTTCCTTCATGTTTTTTTTTTCCTTTTATTTTGTCATTTTCTTCGGTTCATGTTACAACTGTGCACATTTTTTTAGGCGCATCACCCGTTTCTAAACTTGTCTCTAAAAACAACAAAAAAAATTTAAAATTTCTCTCTACATCTTTTTTTGAAATTATTTATTGAGTTATTTGATAATAATTAATTCCCTTTATTTTTTATTTTATAATTTATCATTAACTCTGAACTAATCCTATAATCTAAGTTCCAAATTCTAAATTTTAACACTAAATTTTTAATTTTAAAATTTTGAATTTACAATTTCATATCTAAAATTGATCTAGGGATTAGAATTTGAGTTAATTTGGGGATTAGTATTCAGAAATTATGATCAAACACTGACACCTGATTTTCATATTAAATCCAATATTTGTTGACTTACAAAACGAAATTAGAAATTTTGAAGACGGTTCCACACGATCACAAATTCACGATATTAATATTTATCTAAATAACATATTTTAAAATTATTTTTCACTAACTGTTAGTAAATTTTGTTATTAAACTATTTTATTATTTATCTTTAATTAGTAAATAGATGAATATAATATTATTTTTAAATTTAACCTATAAATACTAAAAATTAAATTTAAATAAAATTTATTGTTATTGAAAATTTTGTTAGATTTAACAATTCATATAAAAGTTTTTTTTGGTCATATTGTTATTAAAAGTTTTTAATTTAATATATTTCTCTCTTTTTTTCCATATACAATAAGCCGGACCAAGTCTCTCATAAGCTGACACGTGTGACAATATCATGGTTATATCGTAATTTCGGTCGTCCGCCATCCGTACTAACACCCCTCTCCCCACTCGCCACTCTGCATTTCCCAAGTCAACCTCCTTTCGCTTCACCGTCGTCGGATCTCAGATTCTCTGGTGAAACATCCGCCGCTGCCACAACCAAACCTAGATCTCTCCGTCGCCGAAATCATGGGAGGTAATCAATGTCGACGTTTCCTGCTTTGGTCTTGCTGATTCAAAATCCGGTCTGTTTCTGGGTCCCGCCGGGAAAATTTTCTCCCATATTATTTTCTTTTACCGATTATGTTTTTTTTTTCTTTTTGTTTCGCCGGTTGACAGGATCGGATTCGAATTCTCCGAGCTTGTGGTTGGCACCGAACCCGAGCAAGAGATGGGGCGAACTGTTCTTCCTGTTCTACACTCCGTTTTGGCTCACCCTGTGTTTGGGAATCGTCGTTCCTTACAAGCTTTATGAGGTTAAGGTTTTTCTTTAACTTGTGTTAGATCGGGAAGAGGGTCAACAAAATTGTTCTCTCTGATGTGTTTTAGGTGAGTTTTAGGAAGCCATGAAACTGAGTTGGGATTGATTTGGCTTGCCATTTGAAGTTATCTGATACGTTATTGGTCCAAACTGTCAACTTTGAGGGGGGAAAATGTGAATAGCCTTTCTTGTTGGCCATGGGGCTATGAATTGCGGACCGTGTACTCAATGATCAGAACTACAAGTCCACGATGCTGAATTGGTTTCTGTTGAATCTTTTCCTTGAATCTCTGTAAATATTGCCTTGGAAAAACAAAATTGTGTGGATAATTTTGTGCTTGCAAGTTGAAAGTTTTCTGGTATAATGGTCTCATCCTGGATAGTATTTGTTATCTTGATGGCGTATGAATTTCTGCAACATTTTGTTTTTGCCGTTAGATCTGTTCATGCTGAAAGTGTAAAGTACCTTGCCAACTAACAGAGATTTACGGAGCTGGAGTATCTGCTGCTGGCTATGATTTCAGCTGTCCCAGCGTTCTTGATACCGATGGTGTTTGTTGGAAAGGTCACACTTCTGAACTAATATCAGTTCTATACAATTTTTCTTCATTGATTTCTGTTTATATGCTATGTTTTAGTAAATTGGTGGCATTCTAGTCTTTGATATATTTTAATTCCTGCATTCCCTTATGTTATCACTCTACGGCCAGAGTTATATTATGGGTATACAGAATTTGCTTCTCAGCAGCAATATAGGTGACTTGATTCTGATTGTTGTTGAGAATTGTGCTTTAGCTGGGGAACTATTTAATTGGTGTTAATTTGGATGTCTGTGGCAGTAGTGATGAACTTAGTGTCCAATCAAAAGCATACAGTGCTGGTTTTCCTACATATTTGATGCAGTCACGGATTTCTTTTCTTCCTGTGTTTTGTCAGGCTGACAGAAGCTTATGCTGGAAGGACCGCTATTGGGTTAAGGCAAGCTTCTCCTTCTGTGTGCATAAAATCCTGCTTCTAATTTAATTAAGTTTAATTGCCTTCATCGATCAGATAAGTAGTGGAACTATCTTCCAAATCACTGGTTTCAAATTCAATTTCGTTTAGTAATATGGTTACAAGTATTTTGTTGGCATGAAACTTTTGGTGAATGTTCTCTATCTTTAAACTCGTCGTAAGGAGCGGAATTTGTTTCTGTTGCAGGCTAATCTCTGGATAGTTATTTTTAGCTATGTGGGAAACTATTTTTGGACTCATTATTTCTTCACTGTTCTGGGAGCTTCATATACTTTCCCATCGTGGAGAATGAATGATGTAAGCAATAAGATAGTGATGCAGCTTGATATGGATAATATGTTCAATGAGTATTACTTTTCCTTTTTGTCTTGAGCTGAATACATTCTTGTGTGCTGCACAGGTGCCTCACACGACTTTCCTTCTAACACACGTTTGCTTCCTTTTTTACCACGTTGCGTCGAACATGACTCTTCGAAGGCTACGGCATGCAATTACTGATTTGCCAGATAAACTGAAATGGTGTTTTGAGGCCGCATGGATATTGGCGCTTTCCTATTTCATTGCCTACCTGGAGACTATAGCTATTGCAAATGTAAGTGCGAGAACTCCGCTTCTTGAATGGTTTTGCAGAGCAGACTAGATGTTGAACTCTGTTGCTTCTAGAAAATTGCTGGGAACCCCAGAAAGCTATTTAGTCCGTGCTTTATGATTTCAATATCCCAACAATTCTCTTTAGAGCTTTACTGAGTTACTCAACAAGTGCAGAGGCCAGCACGTGATTGAAGTCTTTTTCTGACAATGCTTCTTTCTTCTGGAACATGTGCAGTTTCCTTACTATGATTTTGTGGATCGGAGTGCCATGTACAAAGTTGGTTGCTTGTTCTATGCCATCTACTTCCTTGTGAGCTTCCCGATGTTTTTCAGGTAAAGATACACCTCAAATCGTTACAGTAGTGTTGTTTTCCTGGATAATGAATATCTCCCGATTCTCAGCTCATAGATAGTATGCAGTCACGGTGTCATTGTCATGACTAGTATATATCAAAACGGGAAATTTGCTGACTTCCACTTGATTATTTTTATGCTATTTAGTCTTGATTCCTTTTGAATAGGATATGGACCAACCAGTTCTCTCTCAGGTGATTGGATGATAGAAATTCGTAGTACTCTTGAGCACTCTTTCACAAAGTGGTTTTGCAAGTTTCGGAGTTGTGGTTCAACATTCTCTACTGTTGTTATGGGCAATCTGTTCATCTTTAGTTTCTTCCACTCTCAACTTTTGAATCCTTTTTTATCACATGTTTACGTATTGTGATTTGCAGAATCGACGAGAAGTCTAGTAACGAATGGGATTTACCCCGAGTGGCAATCGACGCACTTGGCGCTGCAATGTTAGTGACAATCATTCTCGATCTGTGGCGTCTCTTCTTAGGACCTATAGTTCCAGTTCCGGAGACCAAACAGTGCCTTGAACCGGGATTGCCATGGTTTTCCGGGCAAAGCCGTTGAACCTCAGACTCTTTCTAACCACAACAAGAAGAGCTCTTTCTAACCACAAGTGTTTGTATCGTACTTGTTGTTGGCAGTTTCGCTGTTTATACATTATGACGACAATGCAGTAAGAGGGAGTTGTGCAAAGAGTTGATATTTTGTATGCTTCTGTTGTTGTCTGCTCATCTATTTATTTTTTTTGTAAACCAGAAGATTTTTTTTTCTTGCCGATGTTTACGAAATTCATCAGATATTACCAAAGTTTTGTTCATATCAGTGGGGGTGATGACGTGGCATATTAGACATCACCTCAAAATGATGTGGTGAGGGGAAATAGTTTGTATCCAAATCGGAATCGAATCGGTGTGTATTCGAACCATGTGCATTTCAGTTAGGGGTGACTATTTCGGGTTTCGGTTCAGATTTGGTTCGGTTAACCGAATTCGTTTATAGAAAAACTATAACCATTTGATTTTTATCTAAACTTCAGTTATTTTCTGATTCGGGTTCAGTTCGATTTTGGTAAAAAATTTAATTTTTCAAAGAAATTATCAGTTTTTTTCGGTTATATTTTTTATTCGGTTAGGTTCAGTTCGGTTTCAGTTATTTTGGGTTTAAAAAAATCATAACCATTCGGTTTTGATGTCGGATTCGGTTCGGATACGGTTATGTTTTATTCGGTTCGGTTCGGCTCGGTTATTCGGTTAATAACGGAAATTGTCATCCCCTAATTTCAGCCTTTCGTCCAATTATACTCTAGCTTACCTTTTTTTTAAAAAAAGTTCTATACATTTGGTTTTTATATTACACTACATTCGATTCGGTTTTGGTTTTCAAAACCTACTGATTTAATTTTTATATAATATTCTATTTGGATACAATACTGTACTATTCAGTTCGATTTTATAGAACCAAACCAAAACGTAGAACCCTAATTGGAAGTACTCGTGTTTTGTTTGGGTCAATTTAACCATCTGTTGAATCACAACCCAAACGGAATATGCTTACCACAACAACGCTTGTGATTAGAGGTGGACGAACGGTTCGATTTGATTTGTTTGGTTATGGTAAATTTAAATTTGGTGATTTCATATGTTAAAAATTTGTAACTAAACAGTTATTTAATTCTAATCAATTCGGTTATGTTTCAATCCGGTTATATCTAATTAAAATTATAACCAAATTATAACTAAATAAAAATTCGGTTCGGTTTGATTTGATTACAACAATAGATTAAACAAATTTTATAACATTATTGAATTTTTTTTAAAAAAACTCACTTTAATTATATACTATTTTATTATACTAATTTCTCTATACATATATCATATATTGCATATACAACATAGTAGACAAAAAGTCAATTATATTCAGTTTATTCGGTTACAATTAAATCATATTTAATTCTTTCAATTTACGGTTAATTCAATTCGAATTTCAAAAATTAATAACCAAATGGTTATTTAATTTTAATTGATACCGCTAATTTTGATATAAATCAATCATATTCGATTTGGTTTTCAAATAACCGAACCGTTTGACCACTCTACTCGCGATTCAACTCTGTACGGGAACAAAACACGAATATCTTAGAAAACAAACACGAAGTTGAAACTTGAAAGAATATAGGTAGGGGGTTTTGGTTCAAAACTAAACCGGAAAAGCATTAACCGTACGAACCAAAAACCTGAAACTAAACCAATACTCAGGATTAGAAAACTGAGCACTTGGAGAAGGCAGAAGAAGCATTGATACAATAGATAGATAAGATGCTAATTTAATAATGTCAAGCTCAACACATTAAATAAGATCAAAATGTTACAATAGACAATGTTATAAATAAACTTGAAACCTTTTTTTAGATCCCTTGTCTACTTCCTTTATCTAATTATTAATGTGTTTTTTGTTTCCAAATAAACTTACATACAACAAATTGCTTCAGACAGCCAACGGACATTCATTATTCAGACTTATGGCCCTCCCAATTGTACAGAAAAACGACACGATTTAATCGCACGGGTGTCTCGAGAGAGACGAGGAAAAATAAATAATGGTTTTTTTTTTAGGGGAAAAAGGTAAAATCTCACATGAAATAGCTGAGGGCTTTCTTCCTCCGAGAACCTCCTTCTCCATAGAGTTCGTTCCATTGTTGAAGCTCGGTCATGTTCACAGACTCGGATGAGACACTTGCACATACCTGTTTCAACGACCACAAATATTTTACGAAGAACCCTCTTTTGTTTCCAGACAATCTTTGCATTTGCATTATGAGTAAGCCCTCCATTTTGATCTCGTCTATTGGACTATAATATATATATATTATCTTGCAGATTTGCTAATAAACTGAAATCCTCATAGATTACGTATCACCTTTGGCAGCAGAAAGTATTTCTTACCCGTTCGTGCGCATATCTGAAATCATCCATGTTCAGAGATCGGATATCAGCACTTCCACTAAGAGCTGGAGGCGGTTTACCTTCAGCAAGGGCAGCGTCCCGCTCCTGTATCAACAGAGGAAGGGAAAAAACAAAGAGCTTCACTTTCAATTTCGAAGCATGTCTATACACAGCTCATTCGTAATCTGAAAGGAAGAGACTTTTACTCTTTTTTCCTTTTCTAGGATCTCCTTGATTGGACGATGAGCAGCAGTAACACAAAGATTCTGCAATAAAGGATTTACACAAGAAATACAAAAAGTATGGGTAAAAATCTCGGGGTTTGCTTTCATTCTCACAAGTAACGGAGGCATATAAATCAAAAGGGTATAAGAATTGCTAAGGGTTTACCTTGAGATCGCTCCCAGAATATCCGTCTGTCATACTGGCAACGGTGTCAAGGTCCACATCGGGCGATAAGTCCTCTTTGGCAAGGATAACCTTTAGTATCTTTGCTCTATTTGGGGCATCGGGTAGGTTAACCATTAACCTACATAAGTCGATGGCACAGACTATTGAGATATTGCACCTGAAATGTCCCTTGATCAAAGTTTGGTCCGACGGGCTATAGACTTGTATCGCTTACCTCCGAGGTAACCTTCTAATGACAGCCTCATCGAGGTCAAAAGGCCGATTTGTGGCTGCAAGAACAAGAACCCGTTCTGTATCCTTTGTCCTTAGACCATCCCAGTTTATCATGAACTCATTTTTCATCTTACGCATGGCCTCATGTTCACCCGGGTTTTCCCTCCGGCCCAGCATGCTGTCCACCTATAAGACAGTAGAGCAACGTAAATAGTACAACCTTTAAATACAACAAAAATTAAAGTGCACAGGAGTCCGCCACAATATATTACCTCGTCTACGAATATAACGCTAGGGGCAATTTTACTGGCAAGGGAAAAGACAGCTTTGACATACTTCTCACCCTCACCGAACCACTGCAGTTTCGAGGACAGATATTTGAACAACCAAGCCGAAATAGAATGATAAAAGAGGTACATTTGTCAGTGTGCTGGTACCTTAGAAGTGATGCTTGACATTGAAATGTTAATGAAGTTTGCACCAGCTTCTGTTGCCACCGCCTTTGCAAGCATAGTCTTCCCAGTTCCAGGAGGTCCAAATAAAAGAATTCCCTTACAAGGCTGCAAAATGAAGAACAAGAGTGAGACTTATTAGAACCACAAAACACAGAGAGAGAGAGAGAGAGAGAGGTAAGACCTCTTTGTGCATCTGAGACAGATTTAAATGCAGGATCTAGTTAAAACATATGAAATCTCTTTGCACTTAATCAAGAATGAAAAGAACCACCTTTGTTAATTGTCCCTTGCAGAAAAGTTCCGGCCTTTGTAAGGGAAGCATCACCAATTCTTTTAAGGTGTCTTTGACATTCTCAAGCGCACCAATATCATCAAATGTAACACCGATGTCACTAGGTGGGATAACATCAGCTAAAAGCCTCTTCTCAAATTCATTTTCAGTCACAACATCCTGATACGATGCACAGAGGAATGGCAGGACAGTTGCTATGAGATGGGGGGACCTTAAAATTATTGGCGACAGCAGATATATGAGGCACATAATTTAATTTACTGGTAAGACAAACTGCTGACCTTGAGAGACTTCTTAGAGCTCTTAGATTCATTTAGGAGAGACTGTAAAACTCCGATTCCAAAGTTTATGCTGCGCAATACAAATATTTCACTAAGACTTCATGTTCAAAAACTGAAACAGATACTGAAAATAGTCCTCTTGACTGAACAAGATGTCTGTTACCTATCAAGTGACAAGATAACCCTTGCATCCGGATCAGCGTCGGGATTATGCATCAGGTGGTGGCTAAGAGCCCATCCAATTATCTTCTCTGCACCTGTAAGCAGAAAACCAAAATTTAAAGGTTAAAAAGTTGACCTGGTAATTTTTGAAAATCATGTCAACCAAAAAGAAAAACATACTTTCGCTTTGAAGTGTGAGGTCTTTCATACACAGTGTCTCAAGTCCTTCACATTCCAGTCCACATCGTCCCAGCACCTATATCAAGATGTAAAACAATGATTCTTTCTCAAGTAACTGCTATTAAGCACCAATCTTAAAACATGAACAAATACCATGGCTCTATGAGAACCAGAGAAATTACCATGTTCTGCACCCATTTAAAACTACTTAGACTGGCATTCTAAATTTTCACTAAAACGAATGAAAACGTATTTGATGTTCACCATTAGTTTATTTCATGTGTGAGTAAATGACTTGAGGGTCAGATGAGATGATTGAGTGATGGAAGAATAGGTTAATCAACAAAGAATTTAAAGAAACTGCTGCGTAGGCTGTTGGGCTTCCAAAATCATAAATCTTACAAAGAACAACAAAAGCCCGTGGATTTAACAATCTCAAACCTAGCACACAAGCATACAAACAAATGGTGCACCTACAGAAACCTCTATAACTTGAATTTCAAAGGATTTCAAATTTAACCTATCATATCTGATAAATTCTTCGTGTCCACGTGTAAAACGCCAACCAAGACCTTCTCTTTGACATATATGCAGTCCAGGAAGGAAACTATAAGCATGACTTGAATCTTATATTAACGGAGAAAGACTTACCATACACAAGTGGTTTAAATTAGCCTTCATTTTCAAGGTCTCGGAATCACGATCCAATTGATGCTTCCAAGATGCAAGAAGAGCCTCATCCTGTGATCAATTGGCCACATCAATTCTGAGACATAAATGACAGTTGGCAATCAAGAGGAGACAACTCCTCATGTACAGGAGATATCTTAACAAACCTGTGGCAGGTGAATGGTAACTTTATTTGGAAAGAGCTTAGTGAGAAGTTTTGTTGCTTTTGGAACTTCCTTTCCCCGTTCATGTAGTCGCCCAAAACTATCCTGGGAGGATTAAGAAAAGGAACCATTAGTCACTCATTTGAGCCAAACTAGACATAGTAAGTCCATTCACACGATAGCAACCAGGACAAATTACAACCCCTGGTCAAACTTCACAACACATTTCCAAGATATACTCTACAACACATTTCCAAGGGAGGCTAAAAACGAACCAAACACAATCTTCTCACATACAAGGAGAATGTTTGCAACTTTGCACACACTCAAAGGCTAGCTTTCATAGAAAACATCCAATATATTAAACATTACGTAGCTGAGAGTTTGCTAAAACCAACAAAGATGATTATCAACATAAAGTGGTGGCCAAAAATACCAGAAGAGTACATCACATGTGCTTTTTCCAGGAGCTCAAATATCCGAGCATAAATAAGGTAGAGATCACTCATTATATTTACTCATGAGGTAAGAAAGCTTTCAAGCGGAGAATGCCGCAGATTGATCACATTAATTCCACGGAGCGGAAAAAGAAAGTTAAAGGTACAGAGATAGCACATGAAGCATGAAAGCATTTAGCTCGAATCAAATGGTAAGTAAGCTGAGATATAGAAAGAAATATAGAAAACTCGCGGAAAACAAGCAAGCCGACAACTAATTTTAAGAATTAAATTTTCATGAACAGGAGGAGGGAAGGATGAATTACCGGAAAAGCCAAGTCAAGAAGGGCAGTCTGATTGCTGCCAAACTTGGTGAAAAATAGACCTCCAGGATGTGACTGCAAAGAGGAGAGACTATGAATTACATTTACATGCACCAAAATCCCCAAGGAAAAATGCAATAATGAGTTCATGTAAGATGCCATCTCATTGCAAAGATTTTAAATTTATTTTGATTGTGTGGATTTTCATCTATTATCACGATAATTTACTGTCTTGAGTTGGAATAATTTTCCAAGGAGGTCAGCAAGTACATTCTCAACATAAAGCTTGAATATGAAAATTACTCCTTGAGAAATTCAAGGAGGCATGCGAGGGGTATATTGTACAAAGAAATTTTGATCGAAATTTTGTTGGCAATTCTCTCAGGACAAAGCAGTTAACTAGTTCAAGAAACACTTCTACAAGTAAACTTCAACCTATGAGATCTTATGAAAGCAATGCTAGAACTCCCACAGAAAAAAAAAACAAGGACACGTGGAAATGACTTAAGTGTCAACCAACGATCCGACAGCTTCAGCTAAATCACTTCAGTAATGAGCAATTAGAGCAAAAGCTTTGAACCGTAATTACCTTCTCCTTCCGAATGTCAGAATGTGTGTGCGAACCAATCACAATAACATTTTCCGGGAGGTGCTCAAGTCTGCTTTTAAATGCAGAGTACGAATCAGAATTTCCAACAACAGACTTCTCAGCATCTTTCATAAACAGAATGAAGGGAGAATTCCTGCTCTCGCTACATACAACCTGAAAAAAGATTAAGATAATATTAATGAATTGGAACATATTTAGCAAATGAAAAACCACAACACAATTTGTGAGTGAGAGAACAGTCACCTCAAACAATGTGTTCACAAGTAATTTGTCCAGGTCTTCAGAAGCCGTACTCTCCAAACGGAGATCAGAAGCTGACAAGAAAATTCAGTATGGTGAGCAAAGAGGACGTGGGAATAAGACCAGCACGAAATGCGATCCTGAACACGAATTACCATTGCAAAAGAACCCATGTCCTCTGTCACATAAATCGCCAAGATCAACCCCATCAGGTATAGGCTTATCAAATTTTACACCCACTTTAGATGAAGGATTTTCATCAAATACTAAAATAACTTTCCCTTTAATCCCGTATGGCGGTCCCCTGAATATAACAAAGAGTATAACTGGATCATCATGTTTATAAGGATGAAACATAAAAAGGCAACGAAAAAAATTCAAAAGATAATTTTGTAAAGCCAAACTCACAAAGATTCCACGAAAATGCAGATGCAGATAGAAGAGTATCAGAGTGTAATAAGCAGTTATACAGCCCATAGAATGAGAAGTAAACAGAACAATTTTTGTTCATGCCAGTTAGATGCGGATATAAGATTAGAAATATAATAAGAAAAAGTTCAGCTCCTACAGTGAGAAGGAAAAACTAAATCTATGCACCCTTCACATTTTCTTACTTAATCATTCGACATTCCAGTCTCCAGAGGACAAATTCATAATGTTCATGCAAAGCAAAAGAAATTCCAAATTCATTTTGTGCAAGAAATCAAAATCTATGCATCCTTCACATTCTCATAGCCTAAATTAAGATTATTACAATGTTAAATATATAACTTCTGTTTTAAATGAGAACAAAATGTGCAACGAAGCCAAGGAGAAAACCCACAAGAAACGATCACTGTACAAACCTCGAGGTAGATGATCTAGGATACAACCCACCAGTAGCCACGAACCTTACCCTATCACCTGCCAGCATTATTTCCCATGACTCATCAATAAAGAAGCCCACGAATATTCAAAGTAAAAGAGGAACTGTTCTTGAAACACCATAAAAGGCATGCCTTTCTTTAATGTATGACTCTTTGGAGTTGCGAATGAAGGAAGTAAAGTCTCAGACTCCAACTTCAGCTGAGAGTCTTGACCAGAAGAGGCAGCTGGAGAAGGGCTAGATGCATCTCCTTCGCCTGCTGATAAATCAATGCTTTTACCCAGATCAAGAGGCCCAGGACTTTGCCTCATATGGTTACCTGATTTTTCAGTAGCAAGCCCATCCTTCAGTAGTTCCATTTCCTTAGCAGTCAAGCCCTGAAGTAAATGTAAAAAGGATACACTACGTAACATTTTTTTTGTAAAATCCTATCCATTATAAAAAAACACAAACAGTTGGAAGATATATTATTCTGGAAAACTACTACAACAACAACAACAGCACCAAAGTCCCAAGTTTATTTGGGATCGACTGCATGAATACTTTTTTTTCCATTCATTTCGATTTTGGGTTGTCTTCCGAAAATTGCAAACACTGCAAAATGTGACTAACCACTCGACCCCAAGTGAATCTAGATCTACCCATGTCTCTATTCCTCTCTCCTATTTCTATGTTCTATACTTTTATAACTGTTCTTCTAGGAAGACTCAACATTAACATCAACATCGCCTTAATCCCAAGTTTATTTGGGATCAGTCACATGAATTCTTCGTTAATAGACTAAAAACAAGGTCATCATCATTTTCCAAAACCTGACACTTTTGAAATAGTCAATGACTCAATGATACAAAAAGTGAACAATATAGAGCCATGTATACATATAAATCGAGTAGAGGCTATATCTTACACCCAGAATAGGATGGCTGTCAAATATTAGCAGCTTAGCCTCAAAATGATTCGCAAGTGCTTTCGCTAACATCTCTTGATATATCTCCGACCCTGAAATACATCCAACCAAAAAAGGTAAAATGATGTTGCCACCAACATATCCATAGGAAGCAAGCCAGGAAGATACCCACGAACCTGCTGGGCCAGAAAGCAAAATCCTGGGATTCAAAGTAGTCAAGTCGGAGGCATATTTCGCATGGTCTTTGTGCTTCAGATGTATATGTGAAGCAGCAACTAGAACATTCTTTGTATTCTCACTGCAAAAAAAATGAAAAGACCACAATTATCATGTAAAAACCACACACCATGATGTAAATATGCTAAGTGCAGAATACCAGAACCAACAAATGGGATACACATCAGCCTACGTCTATAAGACTCAAAGTGAGAAAGAACATAAGTAATCATTTCATACCCTAACATACCAAATGCATGTGATCCGAAAACAAGAAATTAAACTCTGATCCAAACTGATAACTGACAGTTTCACATTGAAAATGAAGATGAATGCAAAGAAAAAAAATTAGAAAGGCAGATCACTGTCAGTTCCAAACTCAAATACTTCAGGAAAGCAGGATCTTCCCCTTCAACAATTCATGAAAGCTCAAATTCAGAGAGAATAGTAAAAATATTAAGAGCAACATTCAGACCTCCAGAGAAAGCTTCCAAGAATGAGTTTTGTTTAATTAGAAGATTCCCAAAGGTGTATCTAACTGTTCAGGGTAAACGTCCAAATAAAACAAGCATGACTTGGTTCCATACCTCAAATAATAGGGGAAATTCTCAAATGACACTTCTAAGCTTTTGCCTTCAAGAATACCAGCTTGGATGTCTTCCCTGAACATTGCTGATCGCAGACCACTGCCTGATGTTGAAGCTTGTTGTGAATCCCTCGTCAACTCATTTCTCTCATCTAGCATCTGATAACAATTTGTAAATATCATATTAAATTTAATTGATGAAGCCAAAACCAAAGGGAAATGTGAAGCAAATACCTCTATTCTGGAATCCTGGTTGTAGCTGCTGACTACTCCACTATCTGCAGCTTTATCATTTTCATTTACAGCAGAATTGCCTTCCATGCCATCTATATCAGCATCTGTACCATCTTGAACCACAGATGTAGCAGGGATATCTGGTGCTTGGCGTATTTTACTGGATGCCTGGCTCGTCGATTTCCAGCGTGATAAGTCCTGCCTTAAGCTTGAAAGAGATGCCAGAATCGAAGCTCCTGCTACAGCTGATGCATCCCCTGCCCTTCTCTCCAATTGTAGAAACTTTCCTGCAGCAGCCTTAAGCCCGCCACCATTAACCGCAACCCCAGACACTTGTTGAAATATCTGTGTAGAAATTAAGGAAAAGACATGCCAATGCATACAGAAGTATCATCCCAATATGAGAGGGCAAATATTTTCTTGCATCTGTTGTATGGTGAATATTTTGTGCACAATTAAAAGAAGGATACAAAAGCATAGCTCCCAAGAAGACCAAAAACCACTTCATCACCAGAGTGTAATGCATGAGAGGCATTTTTCCTGACAACTGACCCATTTACTAGCACAGATCCCTTGCTCCCCGTGCTCTCTAGAACAGCTACAACATTCCCTTCGTGCTGATCATGTCCACAAATAATGAGTATTCATACTGCAGATACATTTTTAAGGAGTTCATCTCCACAAACAAACTCAGTGATGGAAAATGTGTTACACCAGAGGCATGAAATGAGCAAGTAATGTTTACAAGGATAATGGCATCAGATCAGCAGTGTCACCAAATCTAACGATCAGAAAGGCAACAACTCTGAGTATAACCATCAAAGGAAATACCTGAGTTTGCCTGATCTTGCACAGCACTGCACTAGCTGTCTGGTCTTTCAATGTAAAAGTGCAGTTTTTACTCGAACCGATGGAGAAAACAGATGTATAGATTTCAATGTTGGGATGCTGCAAATCACACGTAGCTCAGTTGTCAAGAAATCGAAATCCCTTGAAACAGCAGACAAAAAAACTTGCATACACATAAACATTCAACTCAATCCAGACACTTTTCTCTTTATTTCGGCCAATGACAGAAGCCAACCTGCCCAGACTGTGAGAGAAGTTTACACCACGGGGCTTCAAACGTCTGATGCTTCTGATACGTGTTCCATCCGGAAAACGAACTCCTTGGCTTGTCCATCAAAATCGGCGCCGAGCCTTGAAGCAACATCCAACTCAGAAAAATCAAATCGAGATTGAACTCAAGATACAAAAAGGTTCATTTATCCAAGAGTGAAAATCGAAACGAAGAACAGAGATCTACAAAAGAGTAAGACTGGCAGACCTTCCGCCGTCGCAACCGGTGGAGCCACCACTACCGCCGCTGCCGACGAGGCCTCACCTTTAGCGTCTCCGGAGATCGGAGCAGCAGCAGTTCCGCCGCCACCTACCACGCATTCCCCGGGATCTAAAGCTGGCGGCGTGCACATTTCCTTGGAAGTGTCCTCCGCTGCCGCCGCCGGCTTCTCGGAGCTACCTCCGCCGCCATCTTCCACCTGAAATTGAAAGCAAATCGAAACCCAAACCGGAAAATTTCAAGCAGGGAGAGTCCCAGGATCCAAGGAAGCACAAAAGCAGACACAAAGAAGAAACGATTTTGACGGATTCACAGTCTGATCAGAAAACCTTTTGGCGCTTGGGTGACGGGGGTTTATCCTCTGAAGAAGACGATGATCTCTTGCTGCAACTGCTGTTGTTGTTGTTGGTGGTGGTGGTGGTGTTGGTGTTCCCAGAGAGAGATCCGCTTCGTCGCGTTGAAACCATGACTCCCCTCTTCTATGTCCGTTCGTTCCCTCTATCTCTCTCTCTCTCCCCGTCTGTTCAAAGAGTGAGAAAATGAGAATCAAAAGGTGAGAAAAATATTATCTGAGACATGAAATGTATATGTATGTATGTATATATATTCTGGGTGTGAAAAAATAAAATAAATAGGAATGGAACTGTGGACGCAAAAAATAAGGATGGAATGAAACTATGATTGATGATTAAAATTCGAATGGGAATAAAGCAGGACATTGAAACAAAAATAAATAAATAATAGGAAGATTTATATTTATTTTTTCTAAATAATTCTCTTTTACATTCGAATTCAATTAGACTAACAAGCCTCCATTTGTTCCGGGAAAATAAATTATATTATATATATAATATTCGGTGAATTATTATTTACATTCCTATGAAATTCAAAGTTTTTAGTTTAAAAAACAATTTCTAGATACTAACAACTAAATTCAAAATGCTCAATTCATTAAATTACGATTCTACATTAACAACTCTCTATTGATTATACAGATCCATTTTTGTTGGTAGTTTTTAAAAAAATAAACAAACATTTTAAATAACTAAACTTTCTACAGATTATGAATACAAAATTTGGGGAGAGCTCACATTAACTACAGGATTGTGAGTTCGAAATCCATCTACGCTTGAGGCGGTCATTTCGTATGGTTTAACTACTCTGTGAGATTTGTCGCCTATTACGCAGGATCAGAGGGTTTACTGTCGGTATACCGACTGTCTGACCTTAGGGCTGGGACGGTCGGAGTCCGGTCCGAAGGATCATACGACGAGTTTCTATCGTTATAAAAAAAACTTTAGATAATTGAGTTTATCAAGAAAAAAAGGAGAGTTTAAATTGTTGAAAATTTTAAACTTTTAGCAAGCATAATTTTATTTCATAGAAAATATTAATTTTAAATAATCTTTTAACTGAATAATAAAATATCTATAGCATGTTGGTTCATGATATTTTTTACTTTTGTAAAATATGAAGTGTTTATAATTTGGTTTTTGTGGATTTATAGACGCAGATTTGAATATATTATCTGAAGAATTCATCTCGCTTCCACGGACTATCAGACTGTTTGGACTGGTCCTCGAACTGTACAACTTGACTAGCTTGAACTGGAGCTGTGACTTCTTGTAGTTTCGCTTTTGCTTCACCCTTCCAAACATCTCCTAATGTTCTTACTGTTAGTTTAGTGCTCTATGATGTACTGTTATGCGAGTTTTATTATGATACATTTGATGTATTGACACTTTCTATGAGTTTATGGATGAGTATTTGATTCATTACGTATTGTGCATATTTGATATGTTATGAAATTCGTGTATTGTTATGAACAATACTAAACTCCCTAATCATGTATCATTGTGGGAATAATGATATACTAAGACTAGTATGATATGTGATTGATGATCATATAGATGATCATAGGTATTGGATTACAATCACAATCATAGGTATTCGTTGGAGAACGGAATACTGGAATGACCCGCATGAGATTGTCACATGGACTAGCGTCATGACTTGAATCTCATATGGCGGTTCCATGATTGGATCCTAAGACCTGAGATATCTACGGAATCCAACATGAGGAGTTGCGTGCTTTGAATACGTCAAACGTCCTGCATAACATGAGGACTATAAAGGCGTGTATTAGGTACGAAACGAATCATGTGCTAGATTGTAGATAGTCAAGACGTGATTTGTACCTCTCGTAAAAGAGAGAGATATCACTGGGCCCCTCGTGTGAGCGAGACTGTAGAAATGATTGGCCGCACTATAGACGAACGTCGTCTATTTCAGACAGTCGAACTCAGTGAACGAGAAAGCAGTCGAATCAGATAAGGTGGCTTGTCCAT